AATTTCTTCAATCTCCTTACGATAATGAGGACACATATTTTTACTGCCTTTATACATAGAAGAGACCAAAAAAGACCTAAAACGCAGCGTTAAGGTGGAATATCCCTCTGATAAGAGAGGTAACTCTTCTGATAAGAGAGGTAATTTTATACAGACATTGTGTCATGAAATTCAGTGAATTGTAATGCCAAAGTCTACAAATTTCATTCATAAGGACCATTTTATAGTCAACTCAATTAAACCTCTTCTCTCGTACAGATGTTGGTTTCTAGTTTCTTTTGTTAGGATATTTATAAATTATTTATAATAGTTTACCCAAAACATTTATACTTAGTTCCTTTTGAATGATGTAAATTGAGAAAATTCTATCTATTAACGTATAAGTCTTTTAATTGTACAGAAATTTCAGATGCAGAATTGTTTATAAACATTTAATAAATATTTTGTTTTATTAAAAAATATTATTAAGGGCGATAATGGAACGATAACTCTTGTTTATGAATGCGTGTTATTTTACATGCACAGTAAACAATTTGATAATCTGGTTTAAAAAGCAGCGCTTCAGTATTTTTCTAATTTGAATTAGATAGGTATGAGAAGAAATGTTTTTTTATATAGACCTCATATGTCTAATTTAATTGTGCGATAAAAAATAATTGGTCTTTCTGTTTACCATATCGTATTTTCTTCACATCATGATTTGACATATTATTCATTTCTGGAAAAGTAAGCAACACTTCATACTTCAGACTATTTTCCATTTGAATTTAATGCTATAGTTGTTACTGAAAATCAATGTTTGGAATTAAAAAAAAAAATCGTGAAATTTGGAGCAGAGGGATATTGCCCCTTTAGTGCAACCATTCTTAGATTGTGAAAGACGTTAAAACAGGATTTTAGAGTCTGGACAATTTTTCTTTTTTTTTCTGCTTGTCAAACTTTTAAAGCGTTTTTAAAGTCGTTGGCTTTAATACCACCCATCCCCTCTCTTTTGTCCAAAAAAAAAATTGGCAGCCCTTCAGTTCATTTTCCAATATATCAACTTGAATAATATACTAGTAGTTCAGTTTAATTTCTATTTTCAAAACAAAATGACTACTTTATTTGTATGTAGTAATATATTATATGTATTATACATTACAGTTTAAAGTTTGAAGGGGATGGGGTCATTTTTCAATAATCATTAAAATCTAAAAGCTTTTCCCATTTTGGACAGATCGACTAAACTGGATTTACCGACGTTAGAATGAATTCATATGCTAATTGAGGCACTGACGATATCTTCTAACTGGCCAATCAGCTAAAGAAGATACGCTACGAGTGAGTTCCTCAAAAATACTGAGGAAATTTCATGTTGAAAAAAAAAATCAGCTAAAAATTAAACTAGAAAATAAAACTAGAAGAGATTTAAATTTGGTACTAGTCCGATGTTAAAGATTAAGGCTAGCACAAAACTAGGAAACCATTTCCACGAGTTTATTCTGATGTATGGTATATAATTACTTTTAAAATTATGCGCGCGGTCAGTAATTTTTATTTATCTTTTTTGAACTCTCATAATTGATCCACATTAATTTTTAAATCAATTTAACTGCATATACATATACAAGCGGTTATCAAAAAAATAATAAGGTACATCTATGATATATCTAGTTAGCATCATCTTTTCTATCAAAATAATAAACCATGAATCATTAATTTTATTTTTTTTTTAAATTGTAAATGCTTGTGTAAGCAATGGTATTTCCAGGCTGCGCAACCTCGAACACGACATTTTTTTTACCTATGTGGAACTGAGAAAAACTCCTTTGATATGAATATTTGATATCCAAAAATCCTGTTATTTCAGGTATATATTAGTATACAACTGTTCCATAAATATGAAATGTTAACTTCTTTCTGGATGCCCAATGAAATTTTAACGTAAAATTTACATGAAAAGTCAAAACAAGTTAAGATTTGAAATTGACGTCAAAAGGGGGAGGTGTTTCCTTTTCCTTACTCAGCTCCAGGGAATTTCTTCTAAATAAGTTTATGGGTTAGAAGAAGCGGACATTTAAAAACAAGACGTTGTTGGACGTCATGAAACTAAACGACAACGGCGCCAGGTTATCATATAATGTCGTTTGAATTTTCTAGTAATTTGGCAAATAATGAAGAATCAAACTGAAATTTTCAAAATTTCTTTATTTTTATTTTTTTGTTGTTGTTTCATTTTCCCTATTTATTTTGAAAGCACAGACTACATAGTACTAATTTTAAAGACTCAGTCCAAGAACTGTTTTAATAACCCTTTAATAATGAAAATAAATAAATTGTTAAACTAGTGCGAATCCTTTAAAATTTTAATTATCTATAGTTTAAACATTGGTAGGATAATTTCCTATTGTAAAAAAAATACTTTTGAACTTTGATAAAAGATTTGTGAAATATCTGTAAATTTTATTCTCTGTGGTGAACACTTTGGAAATTTAATATCCAACATTAGAAACTTTGGAAATTCGAAATACTACACGAAAAACTTTGATTAACTAAAGTGAAAACTTGGAATTTGGATTTATTATAGTGAAAACTTTGAAATTTGGATTTACTATGGCACTATAGCACAACAATGTTTAATCTATTGATATGGAAACATCCAATTGTTGGGAAGATTCAAGTTTGTTGACCCTTTGAAATAGAAGTGGGCGACAATGAGGAACATTTTTTTTAATGGAACAATTCTGCTCAAGACCCACAAAGTCATTTGTTACCTTGATATGGACGCACACTAAGTATTTAGTACTTTTAAAGCCAATCCCTATCCCTTCACATCCATGTAAACTTTTAAATACTGAACTGATTGTGCTTTTCCCGCCGAAACATGGCTTAAAAAACGCCTACTCGGCGTTAAACAATATTAAATCAGTCAATTCTAGTCAATTAGTCATGTGAGTGATGTAGTCAATGCGCTTCATGTCTTGAGAAACCAATGTAAAATCATCTTTATATTTATATAACTGTTAAGTTGATTGAAATTGAATTACTCAGAAACTATTATTTCTTAGCTTTAAAATCAAACCTTTGTTAAATTAAAAATAGTCGGCATTTAGAAAAGACGGAATGACTTTATATAGTCTGAGGAAAATAGTTTTTTATTAACTAAAACATATTTTTTAATTTGCTATCCAAACCAAAAAGACATTCTTAAAACCTTTCCAAGCAGTAATTTTTATATAAAAAAAACTTGATTTTCAGTGCTCAGACGTTGCTCATAATTTCCTTGCTTCTTACAAAGTATTGATGTAAAGTATTTCATAACATTTGATTTGCCTTATGATAGTGACACACCATTGCCCCACTGGAGACTTTCGCTGCTACAGAAGTAAGGAATGTTTATCAAAGACAAAGTATTGTGATGGAAAAAAAGACTGCTACGATGGAAGTGACGAGGAAAGTTGTAAGACGTCTATTCAAATGAATCTGATGTGTATAGAGAATGAAATCATTTAAAAAAAATAAATCACTAATATTGCTTTTAATACGGATCAAACTGAATAGAAAGGTGCAAAGGAAAACATAGTAATAATTAGTATAATGAACTGTGAGACTATAAGATTTTTAAAAGATATTTAATCATTCATACTACGAATTCAATTTTTATTGATGTTCAAAACCAATCGAATTCTCTAGTATAAGTTTTAAAACCCTATATACATTTCTAATTGTCAATTCATTTTTGGCGTATTGTAGGTACCTCCAAATATTCAGTAGAGCCATTGCACATGGATCCTATAAAACTTACTTGTAATTCGTCCATAGATAGTCAGGAAGTTTCAAATTACAGTGTATTACAAAAATTACATTCTAATACTGTGTGTTCAGGGGTCCCGCTTAGCAATATTTCTGGTAATGAAAATAAAAAAATTGAGGGGCTAATACATAGTAGCTTTGCAAACATGACTTCAAGATGTGCATTTTCTTCAGGTATATGGAAATGTACCGAGTTATGTCCAAAAGCCTGTTCATTCCTCAACTTCAGAAGTGTGTGTTCAAGTTATGTTGTAAACTACCATCACTTCTTGGAATGGAGAAATATTTATTGTGGTAGTGTTCCCTTGCATGATTTTCTTTTTCCTGTTTATTCCTTGTCTATTACAGAATCAGATATTGAGTCCTTGCAAATTGATAGACGGAGAATAAAAAATTTACAGCATATAGCCATCCAAGATAGCCGAATTGATAATTTTACTTTAATTCAAAGTGACTCAGTTTTGGAACAATTACAAACATTGCATTTGATAAATTGTACCGTACATTTCTTAGCGGTGATTACAGTAAAAGATGTATTAAAAGTTAAAATAGAGATCAGGGTGTTGAATTATACGACAGAGAAAAAAAATATAATGGCGTTTTTTTCAATTAATGACATCTTTGTTGACATGGATTTAAACACATCTGTAAATAACCGTTTTCAAATATACATTCTATCATCTTATCATTCAGGGGAGCATGTATATGTATTTACAGCAAGGATATTTCGAGCATCAATAAAATTGCAATTTAAATATGGACCATCATTCTCGCTTCTTGATATGACTAACAGTGATTACATTTCAGTTTTTGACATTAGCACTTCCATTACATATCCACTGGATGTAAAGTTTTTCACGGTGCGACACAGTTCAATAAAATACATTACCTGGGGTAACTATTCTTCTTTTTTTCCTGTATTGTTTACTGCTAAATCAATAGACCTTTCCTTCAACGAAATAACAGTTATTCCACGACTGTCTACAGTATATCTTCAGAACCTTTATCTACAAAATAATAAAATAGAAAAAATCAAACATAATGCCATGTATGGCTTGTCATCTTTAGTTCTTCTTAATCTTTCAAACAATTCTTTGACTAATATCAAAGAACATGACTTTACGCAATTACTAACTCTAAAAGTGTTGTTATTAAGAAACAATACAATCATATATATCCATGAAAAAGCTTTTTTTAACCTGAGAGAGATGACTATTTTAGATCTGTCAAACAATAAAATTACTCATTTTTCTGATGGAATATTCTTGCATTTAGAAAATTTACAGATTTTGTATATTCAGAACAATGAAATCCTTCCAATTCCTGGAATGTTTCGCGGATTGTTTAATATCAAATGGCTTCATGTGGATGTTTTCTCTATATGCTGTGCAAAACCACAAAGCATCAATGTTGTAAAATGTGTTGCTCCTCAAAATGAACTATCTTCGTGTGATCAGCTTATCAATGTTCCTATTCTGAATGTTGGTATTTGGTATATAGCTCTTCTTGCAACTTTTGGTAATATTGTTGCATTTATAAGTAGCTTTACAACATTTCAGAAAACTACAATTTCCTATTTTACTTTTTGCAGAAATTTGAGTGTTGCCGATTTTCTAATGGGTTTATATCTATATATCATAGCAATAATGAATTTGGTTTATATTGGGAACTATGGATTAAATGATTATGCATGGCGACATAGTGGACTCTGTAAATTTGCTGGGATCTTAGCAACAACATCTAGTGAGGCATCAACGCTTTTTGTTTTATTGATTACGATAGATAGAGTAATATCTATTAAATACCCCTTTTTCCAAAGACAGAGAGGTTTCACCCTCGGACTAACTCTATTATCTTGGGTTGTTGCTATTTTTATATCTGTGGCTCCTATTTTGCTGGAAGAGGTGCCATTCTTTGCAGATTTTTATTCCAAATCTCCCATCTGCATATCTCTGCCATTATCAGTCCGTAGGCAAACTGGTTGGCAATATTCTATGGTTATTTTTGTTGGTTTTAATTTCATAATTTTTCTCGCTATTGCTGTTGGTCAAATAGTGATTCTCACGGAAGTCATGAAATCTAGCAGAGTGTGTCACTCTTCAAATGTCCGTCATAGGGAGGTAGCTTTAGCCAAGTCTGTTGTTTCCGTCGTTTTGACTGATCTACTTTGCTGGATACCTATAGGAATCATTGGTAAGTTATTAAAAATCGAATCATTACACATTTACTGTATTAGCATAATAAATAAAAATAAAACTTATCAATGCATAAAAAAACTGCTGGTTATATTCTTTACAACTGGTTATAAACAAATCACTGACCGCGATGAACTTGCCTACATGACGTCATTTTGGTAAAAATGACATATTTCATGTACTGTGAGAGGCAGATTGAGAATACAATGAAAACTGTGTTTTATTATTTATCAGAATATTACTTAGGGGTTTGAAATAGACTATAAATACCAATGACTAACATTTGTTGAGAGCGATTATTCATTAACTATAGAGAGAATGTATTTAATTAATTTTGTCGTGTTTTTTATATACAGTTTAGGCATATTTAACATTGAGATGCCTCATTAAATCGTCCTTTCGCAAGGACATACACTAAATAGAGTTAAACCATTTTTCAAATAAAAATAAAAGCTTTTTTCTTTAAATTGAAAAATGCTGCTGTTTTTTTTTTCAAATGATGAGTGTGACTTTTTTTAGTACATAAAATATGTTGTAAAAGTCAAAGGTATTTCGACATGAGCCTATTTACTTGAAATTTGAACTATAAAAAACGCGAATTTCAATTTTATTCAAAGCAGAAGCACTTTCCAGAAAGTACAGAGTATGAAGAAAAAAAATTAAAAGCTTGAATTATTAATTTCAACTAGGGTACGTCTTTGCGATATTGAAATTTGTTAATGACCTATATTCAGTTCACGTACTATGCATTCATCACGTGACTGTCGATGGGACCAAACTTCATACAGTACAGATAAGGTTATACTATGCTATTTCCATAAGTATTTAAGTTCTTCGATAATAAAACCGCTTATTAAAAAAAATCAATTTTTAAAAAATCCTTTTTTTTTGGCACATCTATTTTCCGTTGATTTCCTTAACCTTAACAGTGCTGTGTAGTTGATTAACACCAATACTTGTGAGAGAAAATGCGAACAATAGTATTTATTGCTGTCTTTATGTACCTCTATGTCATTTTTTTTATAAGTAATCACATACGATTGGAATTCATATTTTATAGATATTAATTTGTATTATTATTATAAAAAATAACTAATTTAAAGAAACAAAGAGAGATACATTTAAGAAAGATAAGCTGTACATTTTGTCAAACTTGTGTTTTGAACTATAGAAATCCACAAATATACAAAAAAAGATAAAACACGCACTCCTGTTGAACAAAAATTCATTTTTTTTTACATGTGTTGCAGAGTGTAAAATCACAAATAAAACTTAAGTTTTTTTTGTCTAATGAGATCTAATATATATATTTTCCGTTTTATCTGCTGATATCAATCAGCAAAAATGAGCGTTTTTTACTGAATTATATGACATACTAGAGAGGTTGAGATTTCAAACGTGTACGGGTACGTCTAGTAGGGGAATAACCTAAATTATGTGTGTATTACGTCATCAATTTTAGTGTCGTCAAGATTGCTACACATTCGTAAAACTTGTAGAATGGAATCTACACGTAAGTGAAAACGTGTAGCTTTAATAATAAAAATTAGCCAAATTAAGTAACTATGAAGATGTGATTGTTATACATTATTTAGGATGTTTACTTTCACGAGCACTTATTTTCATCAAGTTTTGTTTACTAACTGACGACAAAAATCCTTCTAGGCCTAAATAGTTTACACAGAGACACCGATCTTAGTGTACACGTACATGTTACACGTCATAAAAATCTCAACAGACAAGTTTAAATAACTTGTAAGTGTACGTCTAAATATATACAAGTACACGTACGCGTAGAAGTTTCAAGATCTCAAATTCTCTAATAACTTGTTAATACAATATATTTTATCAATAAACTTTGCAGAAAAATAAAAAATTAAAATTTTACTACTCTTTTTAAAGAATAGTTATAAGGCAAAAGAATTTGAATAATGAATTAAATACTTATGGACCTTTCTTTGTACACAAATACTTGTGAGTTTGAATAAGATGGTGTAAAATGAAAGCGGACATTGGTACTCGGCGTTCCCAGTTCTTCGTCGTTTTGTCTATCGTTTGTCAAATTGACTATACAAATCAAGATATATGCATAAAGAGAGAATAAAGAAACATAATTTCAAAATTTGATATGCGTCAAGTGATAAACAGACGAAATTCAATTTAGGAATGTTGATATTAATAACGTGTACGGGAATAAATTGCTTGATACAAATATGCATATATGAAGAAAATTCGATATTCGGGACAAATGAATATATCATTGTGTATATTCGAAGGTATGCTGACGTTTTACGGCATTGATGTATCACAAGATGCGTATGCTTGGATAATTGTACTGGTTTTGCCTGTTAATTCTGCACTCAACCCGATGTTGTACACACTTTCGACTATTGTACGAGAAAGAAGGCGAAGTAAGGTAATGAATTGTAATCAAAGTTCTGGTCACTTTTAATTTTCATTTCAGAAAATCAGAAATCATCTAATGTGGATGATGTTTCTAGCAAAATAAGGATTTATTCTTTACAGTAGTAAAGCTCTTTACATAGCAACAAGTAGGTCTTTCGATTTTCGCTTTGACTGCGTTTAAAACCTTTATTAGGGGTTAGTCATTCAAACTGGAGCAAGTTTCTATATGTAAAATTATTAGACTGTTTAATTTGAGGCCACAGTTTTTCATATACATGTAGAATAGTATTTGGCATTAATCTTACTTTCACCATTGTCATATAAATGTCCAAATGTTGCATGGAGGAGTCCGATAATAACACAATGGGAGTTCAGGTCTCATGACCATGAACTGAGATCAGACTTAAATCAAAATTTCAAATCAACCTTACCTATGAAAAAAATAAATAATGAAATAAAGATATAATTCAAATATGGCTTAATCATTGTATAGACCAAAAAGCAATAATTGTTTTTTCAGGGGGTCAAATGGGGGTCGAAAAATGATGTTTTTTATGCAAAAAGCCCCATCTTCCCTGAACTCCTTCTACATTTTACACAGTAGCCTAATCATCTTTTGGGGGATGGTTGGTGGTGTCATGTAGATGTGCAGTAAGGTTTCGGAATTAAGATTTTGCCCCTGGGGGTCAAATGGGGGTCTAAAAATGATGTTTTTTTTATGAAAAAAGCCCCATCTTCCCTGAACTCCTCTAACATTTTACTCAGCAGCCTAATCACCTTTTTGGAGATGGTTGGTGGTGTCATGTAGATTTGCAGTAAGGTTTCGGGATTTTGATTTTGCCCCAGGGGGTCAAATGGGGGTCGAAAAATGACGTTTTTTTATGCAAAAAGCCCCGTCTTCCCTGATCCCCTTCTACATTTTACACAGTAGCCTAATCATCTTTTGGGAGATCTTTGGTGGTGTCATGTAGATGTGCAGTAAGGTTTCGGAATTTAGATTTTGCCCCCGGGGGGTCAAATGGGGGTCGAAAAATGACGTTTTTTATGCAAAAAGTCCCGTCTTCCCTGGACTCCTCTTACATTTTACTCAGCAGCCTAATTACCTTTTGGGAGATGGTTGGTGGTGTCATGTAGATGTGCAGTAAGGTTTCGGAATTTTGATTTTGCCCCAGGGGGTCTATTGGGGTCAAAAATGACGTTTTTATGCAAAAAGCCCCGTCTTCCCTGAAATTCTCCTACATTTTACACAGTAGCCGAATCATCTTTTGGGAGATGGTTGGTGGTGTCATGTAGATGTGCAGCAAGTTTTCGTAATTTTGATTTTTTCCCCTGGGGGTCAAATGGGGGTGGAAAAATGATGTTTTTGTGCAAAAAGTCCTGTCTTTCCTGAAGTCCTCCTTAATGTTACTCAGAAGCCTAATCATCTTTTAGGAGAGTTAAATATTTTGAAAATTATGTAAAACATCAACGTTAAAGAGTAAAAAAACATCGCATGCTAGGAAACACCTTGAATTTTTATGAGTAATTAATGTACATGTCAAATGTGAGAGTCATATCTCATCTCAATCAAAAGTTATAAGCAAATGCAACATTTTTGAAAAGTAGGTTAGGCTTCAAGGTCAAGGTCACAGAGTAAAAGTCATGATTCATTTGGAAAGATCTTATCACAGATAATAATATACATGCATTATGATATGAATGCCCTAACTTTTCTCTTTCAAAATGATGAATTTATAACAATTTAATTTTTTTGCAAGTAGGTCAAACTTCTAGGTCATATGTAAAAAAAACCCATGCCATTCTCACAGGTAAATACTAGTACATAAGTTTAATATGAATGCCTTGTCTCTTCTCATTCAGTAGATATGACCGTGATGACCAAGGTTAATTTTATTCAGACAGAAGGACAGTCTGACATACAATTGTACATATTTCTATATGAATTGCATGGGTAAAATTGGACCAGTGGTTCTAGAGAAGTTAAAAATGTAAAAACTTTTCAGACAAACAGATGGACGACATGTCACGACAGACGTTATATGATAAGGATACCAGAAAAGCTCAAATGAGTGTTTTGAAAGGGTTACAATATGGTTGCAGTATTTGAAAAGCTGTTTTTTTTCAGGCAGCGATATGCATGACCAACATATTCATGTTTTATATTTTCTTTAGTAATTTGTTTGTTTGTTGTGAATACATCTCTCTCGGGAATTTTTCCCTCATATGGAGACACCACCAAATAATAATGAAGACAAGATGTGTTTGTGAAACACTGATGTCCCTGTATGGAAGCCTATGGCGAAGGTTGAAGTTTCTCAAATATATGTCAAACTCAAAGGTCAAGGTCAAATGGTTCAAATTATTGGTATCAGAAAAAAGTCTTGTCACAAGGAATGCACATGTGAAATAAGTAATCCCTAGTACTTCCTGTTCAAAAGTTAATTGCCAAGGTTATATAATTTTTTAAGTGGTTCAAACTCTACGGTCAAGGTCAAACATATTTATACCTGTTGACAGTTCACAATGAATACACATGTTAAGCATGAAAGCCCTAGCACCTACTGATCAAAATTTAGGCCAAGTTTAAAGTTGGGTATTTTTCTTGTAAAAATGTGTATTCCAGGTCAAGTGATCAGAGGTAAAAATTAATGTTACCCAAATAAAAGGTCTTACAGGTAATTGTCACAAGAAATAAACCTATAAAATGTGGAAGCCATTTTTACATTTAATTCTAATCTAATTTACATCATTAATAGAATTCAAACTGGTATATAATGAATTAAGCATGTAAAATAAATATAAGAGGTTCTGAGTTATAGGTCACAGGGATAATTTCATACTCAATTTGATGAATACATGTAAATTACAGGCACGTAGCAACCGGGGAGGGGGGGGGGGGCTGCCCCCTTTTTTTCCCAACATTACCTGTACTATAAGAAAATGTCCATTGAAAAGATGGTTGCCCCCCCCCCCCCCCCCCACTTTTTACCACAGTATATACATAGCAAGGAAATATGGGGAAAAATTGGAAGTGAAAGTAATTTTGCCTTGAAAAAAAGGTGGCCACTACCCCCCCCCCCCCCATTTTATTATTTTTTTTCCTTGTTAATTTTTTTAGGTAAGTAAAAAAAATTTTCTCAGGTTGCCCCCCCCCCCCCACTTTCAAAAAAAGATGCTACGTGCCTGAATTATATAGAAATATTTTGACTTTTTCCTTGGTAAGCCGCCCGTAGGATTGTGTATTTAGAGGCAAACACCTTAGTGCGGGTATTACTGTCTCATGACAGCATCTAGTTTTTAATTAAATTTTCTGGTTTCCTATTGCTATATCATTGAAAGAAAATCAGTGAACTTGTTTAAAAATAGAAAATATAGCGAATTAATGCAGTAATGAGCTTTTTAACCATGGATTGGACAACAATAAGCAAGCATCGAACAACCATACAACCAGATACTTAAAATAACGAAATTTTAATATTTCATGAAAAAAAAACCAAAAACAAAAAAACGAAGAGGCTCGGATAAATATATCTATTACTTTCATATTAAGATTTGTGTCAATGTAGAATGTGGAGCAAAAATTACCTAGGAAATAATTAATTAATTCCAAGTCTAATTTTTTTAATAATATTTGTTTCCGAAGTTAGTTTTTATTTCAAATTATTTAAGTGACAGGGTACATAAGTGCATGCACGTTTATCTGTAAATGTTTTACAAAAATTATCAGATCCAAGGTACAAATGTATGTGTCAGACGTATGGGGGACTCAACATAAACTACCCAATTGCAAGTACATTTACATGTATATTTAGTATATTGAACGAGGCTTCATATAGATTTGAAGTTAATGAAGAGTAGGTGAAATAAAATCTATTTAATCTGGAGTCAGTGTTTTGCATCGATTGTATAATAAATACATTATCTTATATTTAAAAACAAATAGGGACTTTTGACGACTCTTAAACACAGTTTAGAGCTTTCATCATATTTTGGTATTTACATTTTAACAATACTGATATTACTTTTGTGATAAACCTTAGTTTAACTACCTAAGCTAACAACTTTTACTCACCAAAAAAATGAAATAAAAAAAGAAGAAAATATAAAGTCAATAATTCATTTAGTGATATTTAAATTTCAAAAATATCCTGCTCACACATATTATGCGCGGAAGTTAGGGAGGGGGATGAAATGCTTGAAATGCTAGACATTTCTTATGCAAATATACCTTTGTATTACATGTACATCATGTATGTATATATTCTGCAATATTCATTGCCCAATTTTTTAAAATATGAAACGTAAATCAAATTATTGGATAAAAATAATCGAATGAAAACTGTATATCGAGTATCTAGATATGGCATTTTAACATGTAAACGGCAAGTGCAAATATAAAGAATGTGCATAAAACATATATGCATGGTAAGAAAGTTTCTATTCGAGAATTGGTACCACCTAACAAAACTCTCAGTTTTCTTAATTTCATATGAAATTAATAAAATTTACATGACAAATTGTACAATTTAACATTACGGTGAGCCCCGATACCCTTGGCAACAGAATTAGCAGTCCATTCCTGTTTACGCCATGAGGTACGACTAACCTTGGCTAGGCGTAGATTTTTGTCTTAAATTAAGGCAGGCGCAAAGTTACACCTTTTAGTGAAACGGACCTCAGTCCATATATTTGACTTAAGTCCGGACTTACGACAGGCGTAAGGTTACGCCGGGCCTACGCCTTTTAGTGAAACGGGCCACAGATCGTAACAATCCAATGTTCAGTTGTCAGTCAGGCGGAACAATATAAGCACACTTTCTCCGAGGACAAGAATAGCTCACTTTGTGTTACTCGATACAGGTTTTCTTAGCAGCATTGAGCTGCGATGAATTTCATTTGTATATATTCCTTAGATTTAATCACACTGACTTTGGCTACATATATCAGTAACAGTTTTCCTTGGATTTCATTTAGGCCTATATAATTTGCACACATTAATGGCATGTTTTA